CTTTCCCTCTTTTCCCTCTTTTCCTTCTCTTTCCCTCTTTTCCCTCCCTTTCCCTTCCCTTTCCCTCCTTTCCCTCTTTCCCCTCTTTTCCCTCTTTTCCCTCTTTCCCGCTTTTCCCGGTTCCCTTTTCCAGGCGCTCCATGGCCGATCCCATCCCGGTTCCCGTGGGAATCCTGCGGCTCCCGCGGGGCCCCGACAGCTCCGGCGCCCGCGGCTTCTCCCGGGATTGGCGGCATTCCCGGGATGCGGAGGATTCCCGGGATAATAATTCCCGGGATAATTCCCGGGATTTCGGCGCTGTCCAGCGCGCCCGGGCCGCGCTCCGGGAGCGATTCCTGCGGCTCCTGGGATCCGCCCGGGGCCGCCGGACGCGATTTTCCCTCTGGAGCGGGATCCTGCTGGACGCGGAGTTCGGGGCCGCCGATGTGGAATCCGGAGCCTTCCAGGTGCTTCCCCTTTTCCCGGGATTTTCCCACGTTTTTCCCTCTTTTCCTGGATTTTTTTTCCCATTTTTTTTCCTCTTTTCTTGGATTTTTTCCCCCCGTTTTCCCCCTGTTTTTATGGGGTTTTTTTCCCCCATTTTTTCACCCTTTTTCCAGGCTTTTTTTCCCCATTTTTCTCCCCATTTTTCTTGGCTTCTCCCCCCATTTTTCCCAGCTTTTTTTCCCATTTTTATGGCTTTTTTCCCCATTTCTTCTGGCTTTCCCCACCATTTTTCTCGGCTTTTTTTCCCCATTTCCCCCCTCCTTTCCTCTGGCTTTTTCCCCTTTTTTTCCCCATTTTTTTCTTCCCTGCCTTTCCCCCCTTTTTTCCCGACTTTCCCCCCGTTTTTCCCGGTCCTCTTTTTATTTTCCCCTCGCTTTCCCCGGTCTTTTCCCGACTTTCCCCCCGTTTTTCCCGGATTTTTCCCGACTTTCCCCCCGTTTTTCCCGGACTTTTCCCGACTTTCCCCCCGTTTTTCCCGGACTTTTCCCGACTTTTCCCCTCTCCCAGGTGGATTCTCTGCAGACCCCGCTGGGGATCCAGGGCTCGGCTCTGCTGCGCTCCGGGGACGTCCTGGAATTCTCCTTCCCTCTGGAATGAGGCCCTGGAATTCCCTGGAATGAGGCCCTGGAATTCCCTGGAATCAGCCCCTGGAATTCTCCTTCCCTCCGGAATCAGCCCCCGAGGGAATAAACGGATTTTTCCTGCTTTTCCAAGCCCTGGCTCTGGATTTTTCCACCTTTTCCCTGGGATTTTCCCCATTTTTTCCATCCTTTCCCCATTTTTTCCATCTTTTCCCTCTTCTTTTCCAGTCTCCCCCCGTTTTCCTGGATTTTTCCATGTTTTTCTGGATTCCCCCCCCCGTTTTTCTGGATTTTTCCATGTTTTCCTGGATTTTCCCATGTTTTCCTGGATTTTTCCATGTTTTCCTGGATTTTCCCATGTTTTCCTGGATTTTTCCATGTTTTCCTGGATTTTTCCATGTTTTCCTGGATTTTCCCATGTTTTCCTGGATTTTCCCATGTTTTCTGGATTTTTCCATGCTTTCCTGGATTTTTCCATGTTTTCCTGGATTTTTCCATGTTTTCCCCCCTTTTCCCGTCGGGATTGACAATTCCAGGATTTGGGAATTTGGGATTTTCTTTTTTCCATGGATTTTATTGGGGGGGTCCCGTCCGTCAGTGCCGGTAGTGGGGGCTCCGGGAATGGGACCGGGAATGCCTGCGGGAAAACGGGAATGGGAATTCCGGGATACCCTGGGAACCGGGAATGGGAAATCTGGGATACACCGGGAAAACGGGAATGGGAATTCCGGGATACCCCGGGAAAACGGGAATGGGAATTCCGGGATACACCGGGAAAACAGGAATGGGAATTCCGGGATACCCCGGGAAAACGGGAATGGGAATTCCGGGATACACCGGGAAAACGGGAATGGGAATTCCGGGATACACCGGGAAAACGGGAATGGGAATTCCAGGATACCCCGGGAAAACGGGAATGGGAAATCCGGGATACACCGGGAAAACGGGAATGGGAAGTCCGGGATACACCGGGAAAACGGGAATGGGAATTCCGGGATACACCGGGAAAATGGGAATGGGAAATCTGGGATACACCTGGGAACCGGGAATGGGAAATCCGGGATACCCCGGGAAAACGGGAATGGGCAATCCGGGATACCCCGGGAAAATGGGAATGGGAATTCCGGGATACCCCGGGAAAACGGGAATGGGAAATCTGGGATACACCGGGAAAACGGGAATGGGAAATCTGGGATACACCGGGAAAACGGGAATGGGAAATCTGGGATACACCTGGAGCTGGAAAAATGGGAATGGAGGGGATTTGGGATCCCCCTGGAGCCGGGAAAACGGGAATGGGGGGAAATTTGGGATCCCCGGGGCTGGATCAACCCCAGGGGGGTCTCCAGGAATGCTGGGAATGCTGGGAATGGCGGGAATGCTGGGAATGGCGGGAATGCTGGGAATGGCGGGAATGCTGGGAATGGCGGGAATGCCGGGAATGCTGGGAATG